AACATTTACACATCCCAAAGAATGCATATGTAGACGAAACATTACTTATGAGAAAGATAATCTATGCAATCATGTCATATTTACTAAAGATATATCACCGAGGATAAAGGGAGGATAAGAAATTAAATGCGTTTCCTCCAAAACTTCAGCGCAGCGTATCCGAGTCCTGAGTCCATAGACACTTGAAATGGGCTCACACGAGCAGAAGTACCCTCACAAAAACACACTTTGACCATAGAATTCCTGTATGGCCAGAAATATACACATACGCGCACATTCATTCGTATACAGACGCAAACATAAACACATTCGCCATGATGCAGAAACATTTACTCATAAGCATTAATACACAAGCAAGCAAAATTAAACAATTTTCATCTATTCACACGCGGACGTATTACAGGCCCAGAGAGACGCTTTTTATTATTGGCTCGGTTATATATACATATAAATGCGTGTTTTAGTATGTATGTGTTTGTGCACGTGCATGCATGCAGAATGAATTATACCACACACATATACAAACATGCACACATGTAAGAGTACATATATATGAATGTGTGCGTGTCCACGCACACACACATATATTTATATGTGTTTATGTATGCGTGCGTGTGTACAGATACAGATACACACATAGAAAAGACACACACACACACACACACACACACACACACACACACACACACACACACACACACACACACACACACACACACACACACACACACACACACATTTCATACGAAATGGTATTTGTCTTCCAACCAGAGGCTCTAGAAGTTTTCTAGGAAAGACTGTGATAATTTTAGTAATCTCCTTTATAATCGCCTTAATCATCAGAGCTGTAGTTATAATTCTTGCTTCGCTTTTGGCAAAGAGAGAGAGAGAAAAAAAACTCCCCTTCCGAATGGGGTTTGATCCTAAAGGGTCCGCTCGACTTAAATTTTCTCTACGATTTTTTTTTTTCTATTGCCGTCATTTTTCAAATTTTCGATGTTGAGATTTCGCTCCTAATGCTTTTATCTATAATTATCAATTTTTCAAACGTCTCAGCATGAGCTTTTACGGATTGCTTTTATCATTATCCTCCTTGAAGGTCTATAGCACGAAGAAAACCAAGGAGCATCAGAATGAGCTTATTGAAGTTACAGTCAAAATGGCATTTCATTTGCACTCAGAAAGTGCTCCTTTAGGAGCTAACTTCATTAAGTAAAAATTGAATTATTGCATTCGGTTTCGACCTGACCTTTGGTGCTAACTCACCTTTGCTTGTTTGGTTAGAGCCAAAGTAGAAGCTTATCACTGCTTAATGATAGAAATGGAGTGTGATACCTCTAACCAAGGGAGCAGGTGGATCAAGGAGCTGCTAACTTCTCATTTGGGCGGTTAAACCCCGTTTGTCCTTGTTATCATTGTGTGATAATCTCATTACATTTTCATTGTAAAACTAAGGGTAAACAATCCTTTAAAAGCAGTGCATTGTAACTAAAATATACCTATAAATTACAGCAATCTCCTTTGCAGCTTCAGTGCAATGCTCCAATATAGAAGCTATAGAGGTAAATTGCAATGATTACTAATAATTACCCAGAGTGAAAAAAATAATATATTTTTTGTACTATCATTTGGAACACCTGTAAGCTTTCAGATCAAGTTATTATAATAGAATAAATCCCCTGTCTTCCATAATATTCAGATCATCCTATATCTCCTACTCTATGATAAAAATCCTAAATTAAGATCCCCAGGTAAGCTATATTAAACTAAACGCATCGTATTACAAACCGTCAATTCAGTTGTCAGAGAATATGATAGGAAAAAATATATATATTGATAGCAGACATAAAAACAACTTCTGAATTTGTATCTTTAGAATGAAAACCAGCAAAAGAGAAGTTCCATTTAAAGCCAAATTTCTTAAATTTATAGATATTCCTGTCATTGTTATTCGAATGTCCTGACCTTCTTTTACACTATGATTACAGCTCCAGCACATACCAGTAAAAGAGCTATGAATAATTCATTTGTTGAAATGAAAAGGGCAATATCAGGACACCCTAATGACGAAATTCTCATTACTACTCTTAGTTGACATGAAGTTGATAAAGCAATAATATTTTTTAAAGTCGTATCCAAAATTTACACCAAGCCCGGCTGTAAATATAATCGTGATAAAAGTAATAACACTATCCGAGATAAACGTCCTTGTAAAGCTGGGCTAAATCGAATGAATAAATAAACATCTGCTGTTACTAATGTAGACGAATGTACTAAAGCAGATACCGTAGTAGGGGCTATTACAGCTGCAGGCAACCAGGCAGAAAAAAGGTACTTGAGTACTTTTGTTAACAGCAGCTAAAACTACCAAACCACAGCAATCCACCATAATCCATTTAGGTATATTTTCCACAAAATAAAGAATTTGATTCTCCACAACTTAAAAGTTAAAAGATTGCAAACAAGATAGCTACATAATCTCCCCAATTTGAGACAGCTGTTAACATCCCAGGATTATCTGATTTTTCATTTTGATAATAGATAACCAGGCCGCAGGATACTAATCCTAAACCATCTCAGCCAAAAAGAATACTAATCAAATTAGGGATAATAATTATAAACACTATAGTTATTACAAAAGTTAACACTAAATACATAAGCCGATTTATAATTCTATCCCGTATTTCATTCCCCTCTGAAATATAATACTAAAGAAGATATTGATATTACAAACCCCCAAAATATGAAAGATATTCAAGGCAAGGTAAATGTTATTATAATAGATTTAGAGTTTAATCTTAGTAATTCTCATTCAATAAATCAAGCTTGACCTCTTCTTAAACATCATAAAAAACTAGGCAAATTAAAGAACCTCCGAGTAAAAATAATATTCTTGATATATTGATAGTATTCATAAAGGTTTAAAATGAGTAATACTAAAACTCCGGTGCTGCAAACCGACGTTTAATTTAAGCTATTTACTTTTATGTTATACATAATAGTTCCTTTTAAAATCAGAATATTTAGAGGCAGTAAGAGTAATAGTAAGAGGAAATACTCCTGCACCGTACCAGAACACGAAAACAAAGCTATGTAATATTCCCCATGTTCCCTTAAAGAAAATATATGTTAAGTATTATCGGCTCTAAAAAGACAATGATGAAATATATGATATTCTTACTTTTCTCCAAGATACTACTCTAATCATTCAGCTCATTTCACCTAAAAGATTTAAAGTAGGTGCTGCTATAGTATCCGCACTCAAAGGAACTACCATAAAGCTACTCGAGGTATGAAATTTATCTGTCTCTTTACGATTCATAATATTCATCCTCCTACTCATTCGTGAACCATGTTAGCCAAAGAAAACAAACCGGAGAACACAATCCGTGCCCAATCATTACTACCCTTCACTCCTAATCAACCAAATACTACCAATCCAGATGACACTAATCCTATTTGGCCACGGAAGAATAAGCAGTTAAAGCTTTTATATCAACTCGCCGTAAACACATTAATCCCACTACTACTACTCCTAATCTAATTCTCACTCGCAGTCAAGCTAAATTTTTATTGGCTTGTCCGAACAAAGGTAATACTGCAATCAAGCCATGTCCCATAGTTTGAATATCACCGGCTTGCATTGTTGATCCCGCAATGGGTGCCTCTACATGTGCTTTTGGTAGTCATATGTGAGGTAAAAATATAGGCAATTTTACAATAAAGCAAAGACTGTTACTACACATCAATACAAGAAATAAATCTTGTTCTCTTCATATTTTCAACTAATCAAGTTAATCTTCCACTTATGTAGTCTGATTAAAGATACCAACAAAGGAGAAGAAGCAAATAAAGTGAATAATAATATATAGACCCTTGCCTGCTGATAACCTCACCCCAAGATAAGGATAAAAGTAGGAATTAAAGAAACTCAAATCTAATAAAGAATAACAAGTAATCATTAACTGAAAAGTTATAATTAAAACAATAAAAGAAAATTATTAACAAAAAAAGGAAGAGTAATCCTCTTCCTTCAATACTTTTTGGCTAGAACAGACCGCAAGACGTTATTCAAAATCTCAATAAAATTAAAATTTATTCTAATGAATCAACATTAAAGCACAACTCTACAATAGTGGCTAAAATCGTGATGACAATACATTATCAAAATGAAAGAGAGTAAATAAAGACCTTTGCAAAGCTCACCATGAATTAACCGAGTGTATCAATATAATATAAGCCAACAAAAATTTATAATATTAAAATTATAGTATTCTAAATCTAACACAGACATTAACATGTGTCCTCTCCACTGACGCCAAAAGAGCCAGCCCTAACGCCCCTTCACAAGCAGACAGGGTGCAGTCTTTTCCTGTAATTCAAAAGATTCTTAATATAATATATTTTAAACTCGATAAAGTGTTAAGCAAATGTTTACACTTAGAAACAAATACCCATAAACCACAGTTAACTCTTACCATGGGGACAATATAAAGAAAATTCCAAAAAAAAAAAAAAAAAAAAAAGGCAAACATTTCCCACTTCTAGTGTGTGGTTGACCCTTTAGCCACCAGGGGGGGGGGGCTGTCTCACCAACGCAGCCATCCATTAATGACGTGACAAAGCTTGTCGATGGAGCTGATGTCGGGGAACAGTTCCTAAGACAGCCTGCATCGACAATGAATTTTCCAATCTCAGAGTACGTAACATAGGCCTACACAGTCAACTATTTTGGAATTTCCAAATCCCTTTGACGAATGTTTGGTCGATTGGATCGGATTCCTTGCGCCTTTTCACCTCCCAAAGGAATTAGATACGACGTAAACCCCACTCAGCTTTTCAAGAGTGCAATGGAAAATAGGTTATAAACGGTTTGTTTTCATGTAGTTTTTTTTTTTTTTTTTTTACCATTTTCCACGTTCATTGTTCTGCATTTTCTTTCCCTAATGATTTGTCCTCCGGAAATGGGGAACATTAAGCCAAGTTTCCCTCTTTTTCAGGATGCACTCCATTGTACGTAGCGTCCCAAAATGGTCACGTCGCTGTCGTTGAGTCACTGGTTGCCAAAGGAGCTGACCTCAACGCGAAGCGAATAAATGGTAAGTCAGTTGAGGATTGACGCAGCTATTCGTTGTTTCTTTTCTTTTTTTATTAGCATTATTGAGTGATTTTACTGTTTTTTTTTCTCTCATGAGGTAAAAGGTGTGCATAGCATTGTTGATTCATCATTTTTATTGTGAAGGTGAGAATGATCAATTTTGTCATTCTCATCTCTTTGTTTCTCTTGTTTTTTGTTTGCAATTCGTTATGAAAGTTTGGAAAAAAAAATATTTGTATCATTCGCTTTACATTCTTAATTCACAGAATTGAGGTGATAATAATGAGTTACAGGAAATATTAGTAAATTAGCATAAGACAGAAGTAGGATTGGGAGGAATATAGATCTAGGAGAAGAGAGGATATATTATCATAATTATGGTAATTGCAGCGTTGCTTAATTGAAATTCCAACTGTTACCATATTACTGCTATAATATTATTATCCTCACCATTCTCCTTATCATCATAGTTATCAGTAGCGCAATATTCCTTTAATTCGGTAAATATTTAGAGGGAATATCTAATATCTCCAGTATTGTCATTATATTCTTAAAGAACTTCCCTTATTCTCATACTTTAACCGAAATGCACAGTGTATTTTTTAAGTACTAAAAGGAAGAAAGAAAGACGGCATTTATCTTTGCGTTAGTGTCTATGTTTAGAAATATTTTCTTCTGTTCCCTTATCGCATCTTAGCGTTAATCACTCTTTTCCTCCCTCACTTCCCTTTTCCCTCCGCCCTCGTCTCCCCTTTCCCTGTTCCTCGCACTCTCCTCAACTTTCCCTTTTTCGCACACCTTCTCTGCTTCTTCCCCCCCCCCCTACCACCCTCCCCTCGATCCACCTTGCCTTCAACCGCTTCCACCGCACTCCTGCTGAATCATTATCATTATTGTCACTATTACTCTATTTTGATGTCATTATCATGATCATCTTCATCAAGCGCGTTTTCATCCTCGTAGTATTTCATAATAGTGATGTGTGATGGTTATATATATCTTTATCATATTAATTTATAACATTGTTGGTATTTCATTAGTGATATCATTAAAAAAAAAAACTTGCATAAATATAGCCACAGAATGAATAAGCATACCCATTAACGTTTTTGTTCTTTTAAAAATTCTATCAAATTATTTTTACCGGAGTCATTGCTGCTACCATAATTAATTTACGGAAATGGTAAAATAGCTAT